AAAAACCCATCGCTGTGTGAATTCATCATTGTATGAAGCAATCGTTGTGCGAGGCACCACTGTACCTCTTTGAGAGAAGTCAAGGTAGTTTAAGATTATAATGAAGTTTGCAAGATCCATTCTAAATAAAAGGAAGCACTTGACACATTAGTTTTTAAAATACCTATCCATTCCAGAATTTAATATTGTCATTTCTACTATTTTACTTGCACCTTGGATACCTGGGACTAAGTATTTTAGAAACTACCCATTCTGATATAAATCTGCCTGATACTAAAGGTCATCTACAGAGTTCCTGAACAGTGTTTTTCCACACTGTGACCAGCAAGTGAACGTTAGGATCTGGGCCTTCCCTAGAGGTATCACAAGGAATACATTATAAAAAGAATTATAAAGTGACAACACATTTGGTGATTTTGATTCCCAAGTCAGCAGTATGTACCAAAAACCATAAATTACACTATTCAGAGGGTATAAAGATTTGCGTTGAATCAGTGAGATACATTCTGATTGGTTAGGATGAAAATGGAATTACAAGCCAATTTCACTTTTAGTTTTGTTCTAGAACTCATATGTTTAAGATGTTTGCAGACTATTGTAAGATAATGTGCCATTGTTTCATTCCCAGTTGCAGTGATGATCTTCAGGAAAATGAATATCTACTGATAACTGCCCCCCTCCAAAATATTTTAACCCACCCCCACTCTTTCTTTAGGTGAAAAATCGATTTTGCTTTCTCATAATTGCATGTGTGTTAGTCTTAATTAAACTAAGGTGATTAGCAATATTCATTGTAGCAGTCAACCTAGGAATATAACTGGGCATTTTTGCTGTCATTATTTTTTGAATGTAGTCAGATATTATACACCAGAGTGTATTTGAATTGATCCACACAGAAGACAGACCTGAATTTCAGCGGCAGCTTCACTGGGCTCTAAATCCTATCCAGTCTGCAGACTCAGGACAGATAATACAAGGTGAGAATCTACTAACCACAGGTAGTGGCGTATCTCTCTTGAGAATACTTATCCATCATTAGCTGAATTCCTTGTGCTTATCATAGTAAGTCATACTATTAAGTAGGCCTGTTGAATCGCTGCGGATTTGGTAAGTCATTTCCTGTGTAGGTTCTATTGATTCAAATGGGCTTGCTCCAATTGTAACTTTAGCGTAGGATTTCAGCCAATAAAAGTTTAACCATCTTAGAATTTTCGGTTATTTGGGAGGAACTTCACATTGGAAATAACAGCACACTGTGCTGATAATCTGAAAAGATTCGTAGAGATAGTTTGGCGTGTATGGATGAATCTCTATTGCAAATCCTGGGTGGATTTAGGGTGAAATCCTGGATTCCCTGAGGAGGGCACCTTGTGAGCCAAATAATTCTTGTCTTGTCATCAAGAAAGACAACATGGATTGGAGTGTGGCATCCATAGTCCTTCTGATCACTAATTATGCCCCCAGTAAGGGAGTTAATTTTATCCCGGACTTTGAGCTAGCATTAGTAATTTGCTTCCCACTGCTTCTATGGGAGAGAAGTGGGGAGAGAACACACTATCTCCATCATTGTCATACTTCAGGCACAATTCTGGCTTACAATATCTAGGACAATCCAACATTAGAGCACTTTGAATCGCCGGATAGGAGTGCCCTCTTACTCTGTCACAAGGTGTTGGCCATATTTCTTGTAGAGGAAGAAATTACAGTATCTAGGAAAGAGTAATGCTATGATCTCCAGAATGCCCTTCACAAAAAAAATGTGGAAACTCTCTGTTTGTCAAAACGTGACAAGAATGGAAAAGAGGCTGTATGTGCTTTTTAATTCCAGTTCTGGCCTGAAACAGTCACTTTAAAGGACTTGCATATCCTACTGCCCATAGAACTAGATAGGCACAGTGCATTTTGCTCCTTCAAAAAAAAAGTTGCAATTGTGAGGAACCAATATATAGAATTCTTTAGAAAAGTGGTTTTCACAAAGAACTTTAATCTTTATAATTATTCAGAGTATGATCACATATGTTTTGTCAGGTTAAAAACATGAATGTCACAAAACATGTCTCCTTATATTGTATTTTTATAAACATTCTTATTCTTGTTTAATATAGGATTTAATAACTTGGTCATGAAAAGGGTTGTGGCTGTAATAAAAAGAGGTGTTCCTGTTTTTTTAAAAAAACCTTATTATATTCTTACAGGAGATAATGGATTTTCACAGTCGGCAACATACTATAACCCAGAACAACTACCTCCAGAGAATTCTTCATTCATGGAACGAAACTTTATCTGTAGATTACGTTGCCTCTTGGATAATTCATCTGGATTTTTGGTGAGTACAAACTGGCATCTGGACCTGGCTCAAATATAATTAGAAAATTTTATTTAACCTTACAGTAATCTTCTTTTGTGAGTGTTGTCCACTGCCCACTGCCTAAATTCATTTACTTGCCTTCTCCTTTGCATGGAATAAACTAATATTCCTCTTATGCCTCTCATCTCTGAATATTGTGTTTGGCCACAGTTGGTTTATAATAAGCTAGGACCTGAAAGCACAGTTTTAAGTGATTTGATACAAATCTGAGTTTCCTGTTCTCCTCTGGAACCTTTAATTGTCTGCAGGTACTCAGTTTTTATTAATCAACTTGGGGTGTTTTTTTTTAGATCTAGTGCCTGTATTGGCTGCATTTTAGTGCATTTGCTAGTTCTGTAACCAAGTCCTCTTTTGCAGTACCACTGAATACTTTCTGTACCCTTTTCTGATTAAAACAGTAACAATAAATCCAAAACATTAGCTATCCACTTCCATTAGAGAAGTGCCAGCCATGTTTAAAATGACCTACTATAGCTATCCAGTGTCTCAATCCTGTGTGTTTGTGTTTGCAGTTCTCCACCTTACTGTGTTTTTAATAATGAATTGAAAGCACAAGATCTCAACAAGCTTGAGGATTTTAGAATGTTCAGTAATGCCAAAGCAAATTAAATTTTAGAAATAATGTTGAAAATATACAGTAGCATAACATATCTGCAATCATGTCAATCCATTTTCTTCCTCTAAAGGCCATGAATTTTCAAGGGAGATTAAAGTTTCTTCATGGGCAGAACAAAAAAGGAAAGGACGGCACTGCTTTGTCTCCTCAGTTGGCTTTGTTTGCAGTGGCAACTCCACTCCAGCCTCCATCGATTCTGGAAATACGTACCAAAAACTTTATCTTCAGAACTAAGCACAAGCTGGATTTTACACCTATAGGATGTGATGCTAAGTAAGAGCAAGATCAGCAGATAATGATTACCTCTATATATCTTAGCTGTTTTTTATTTTTTTTATTTTTTTTTGTTTGGTAAATCACAGGATATCTGCATATCACTGGTAGAAATTCCTTTGCAAAGCCACAGTTATACATGAGGTTGTCCAGATCGTGTTAGACTGCAGCTCCCATCAACCCTAAGCACTTTGGCTAAGGGTGAAGGATAATTAACTTTGCACAAACATTCTTCATCTCTTTACAGTTTTCCCTAAAATCCAGTTAATTGCAGCTGCAGATAGCCATAGCTTCCTTCCAAATCTTTCACCTCTATTGAAAAATGTATGCATTTCAAAGTATTACTGATTGAGAAGGAGCTTAAGACATACTTTAAAAACTACAGTGGTGCCCTGCATAGCGAGGTTAATCCGTTCCGGATTAACCCTCGCTATGCGAAATCGTCACTAAACGGGTAGGGAAAATGTATTGAAATGCATTAAACTTAGTTTAATGCGTTCCAATACCTTTCTTACTTTCCCGTTCAGTGAGGATTCCAATTGCCGGCAGCCATTTTCACGCCTTCGCTAAGCGAGGGCAGGGCGCGAAAACGGCTGCCGGCAGCCATTTCCGGGCTTCCGGCGGCCATTTAGGAACTGCCGATCAGCTGTTCGGCGGGTCCCAAATGGCCACCGCAATACCCGATCTTCGCAATGCGGGTTTTCCCCATTGCGACGATCGGGTATGTTTCCGTATAGCGATCCCGAAAAAGGGATCGCTATATGGAAACATCGCTATACGGTGCACTCGTTAAGCGAGGCACCACTGTATATGTATTTTCATAAGACATGTTTCCTAAAGTATTAGTATTCTGTAGTTAGTGCTCTAAGCATTGGGCAAAATACTGTATTGTACTTCATTTCCTTTTCCTTAATCTCTTTCTGGTGATGGTGTAAAATATGTTTTATTTTGGAGAGTTGCATTATAGCTCTTCATTAGCTCATGTTATTTGTTGTTAATCCAGTGTTGTGAATTTTGCTATAGTAGAATGTGAGTTTTTGGTTTTGATTTTTCCTTTTCTGAACCAAGCTAAGTTGTGGAAAGGTGGCATAAAATTGTTTTACCTAATGTGTCTTGCAGAGGCCGAATTGTGCTGGGCTACACTGAAGCAGAATTGTGTATGAGAGGAACAGGATACCAGTTTATTCATGCTGCTGATATGCTTTATTGTGCTGAGAATCACATCCGAAGTAAGAGCAGTCTAGTGATAAACCATCAAGTAGTAAAATGTGCACCAAAATAAATCCTGATATGTATCTCTGTGTTAATCCCTTCTTGTTTTTCTAATAAGGGGTTTCCTAAACATATGAGCATGTGTTGGAAGAAGGAGGTATTTTAATATTCTCATATGAACTCCTTAGCTGGAGTCTCCATGTTCTTGTCACATCATGCACTTTGCACTTCCTCTTCTCTGCTTTCTTTGCTGCTAATTCAGCAGTTTTCTCAGGCATATTTGCTACTTTGAAGAGAGGTTTTTCCAAATCTAAATTTAGAAAAAAACTTGATCTACTTGGATCCTTTCTATCAGAGCCTTTATGTCAGGCTGCATAAGCCTCATTGTAAAGCATGTTCTTTTTCCCCCTCGCTGACCTATTCATTGTTTTATCAGAGACATTCTCCTCCCTTCCCTTTGCTGTTTTCTTTGTCACTGCAGTGGCCTTGCTCTGAGCAGCAACTCTGTGTTGCATTAAAACATAAAGAGAGAGAAAATAGTAGTTCCATATTTTTATCCTGTATAAATGTCTACTTATGCAAATATTGAAAAATATGGTTATAACTGAGCTACTTGGGAGGTCAAAATTGTTGACTTGTTGGATTAGAGACTAACAATTTATTGCATGAGTTTGCTTAAGAAATAATTTATTTCTACTAATAGAATACATAGCACTTGTCAGTGACTGCAGACTAGCAGGGCTTGTTTTGCAGAACTGTTGGTAATTGGATAGTTTTGATTTTGCTGTTTTGTGGATTAGGCTGTATGTTATAAATATGCTACACATATTAGTTTAGGAATTGGTTTGAGTGAATCTGAGTGTCAAACAATTTGGAAACGTAAAACAGATTTGCCATTTTCACTTTTCTAGTGATAAAGACTGGAGAAAGCGGTATGACGGTTTTTAGACTTCTTACCAAGGAAAACCGCTGGGCCTGGGTTCAAGCAAATGCACGTTTGATTTACAAAAATGGGAGACCAGATTATATAATTGCAACACAGCGACCTCTTACGTAAGTAGCCTTCAAAGCAATCTTGAAGATTCCGACTTTCTGCATAAGTTTAGCTGTTACAACAAAACCAGCTGTAGATCATCTTATTTGCAGCATTTTACTAGAAAGGTATAGGGATAGAGAGCAACAAAAAAACCTCCATTGCTCTAACAAGTTTGTTCTGAAACAAAAACTCCTTTCTAGGCCTTGTTCTGCTCTCTTGTCACAATTCAAATATGACTCTTTGCCTTGGTTTATAGGCCTGGTTTTGTTTATCCCTCATTCCAGGTGAATGCCTGTGGAAGAGAGTATTTAATGCCTTATTCTACTGCTATTTAATGATGTTTGTTTCATGTATCACATATGCACAGTGCTACTACTTCACAAAGGTACTGTGCCTACTGTCCACCCTTCTAACACAATTAGAGACAGCCAAATCTCTTACCTTGAAAGTCCTAGTGATTCCCCCTGCCCCCCATAACAGCTTCCAGTGTTTGTTCAAATACTTTGAATGGTCAATTGCAGCATTAAAATAAAATCTAGCCATTTTTCTACATGTTATTTTTGGTGTTTTACAATGCAGAGATGAAGAAGGGGCAGAGCACTTACGGAAGCGAAACATGAAGTTGCCCTTCACGTTTGCTACGGGTGAGGCTGTGTTATATGAAGTGATGTTTCCTCAGCCTGGCTTAATGGATCCTTCTCAGGCAAAGGTTAAAAGTGGCATTGGAAAAGGAGCTGCTTCCAAGACTATTCTGCGCAAAGAATCTGTGGATCCTAATTCACTTTTGGGTGCAATGTTGCAGCAGGATGAATCTGTGTATCTTTGTCCACCTGCTTCAAACAAAATCTCCTCCTCTTTTGAGAGGAACCTTTTTGCAGATACCAGAGATGAATTGGGCAATGTAATGACCAGTGATTGGCAAGATATTTTGCCAGTGGGAAACAACAGCATCCTTAAACAGGAACAGACTGCATGCCCTGAGGAAAGTAGTTTGATACTTCCTGAAGACAGTGTGGGCCTTTTTCAGGATAACAAGAATAATGAACTGTATAACATCATGAAAACTCTAGGCATTGACTTTGAAGATATAAAATGTTTTCAGCAAGATGAAGAATTTTTTAAAAATGAACTGTCTGGTGTGGATGACATTAGAGACATTGACATAACTGATGAAATATTGACGTACGTTCAGGAGTCCTTAAATAAACCAGACCTCTTGTATTCAGGCTGCCAGCAGCAACAGCCTATAGTTCAGAACTCCACCTGTGTACTGCCGCAGCAAATGGAGCAGCCACAACTTGACCATCGGCAGAAAGAGACAACAGTGGAACAACATCAGCATCACCAACAGTTGTGTCAGAAAATGAAGCACATGCAAGTCAATGGGATGTTCACAAACTGGAATTCAATCAACAACATGCCCCTTAACCCTTCACAGCAACAGTCTCAGCCATATATCTTTTCCAGCATGCAAGAAATAACTCAGGAGTTTCCGTATAAATCCGAAGTAAACACAGCAACATATGCATGTAGGCAAGAATTTATTCCTTACAACCAGCCCACCAGCATGGTATCACAACTTCCAGATTTTACACAGATAGATTTCCCAGTAGGAAGTTTTGATCGGTCAACCTATTCAACTTCTGGTTTGGAAGACTTTCTCAGTTGTTTGCAGCAAGTCCCTGAAAGTCAAGCTTGTGGAATAAATTCTCAACAAGTTATAGTAACACCTCAGACATGTTACGCAGGTGCTGTGTCAATGTACCAATGTGTATCAGAAACTCAACCAAACTGCACAGAGCAAATACAGTATAATCCTGTGGTATCAGGACAACAAGCCTTGCTAAACAAGGTATGGAACTTAAACTTACAAAACCATATTTTGCATTTTTGACCTGGGAGTATTTTTAACTGCTTTTGCATACATTGATGAGCCAAAAGCACAGAGAATTCTAGCTTATCATTCACATGTCCAACAGTATGTTAGTGTGGGCTGGATTCAGTGATCCATAGGGGCCGTTCCAGCTCTGCACTTCAAAGAAGATGTGGATGATGCTGTCCCATCATTCCAGCCAGAGCAGCTAAATTAACCAGAAATTCACCAGGAAGCAATATCTTAATGTTGCATGGAAGTCCCCCTTCCACAAAGTATCCAGGAATTGGATACAAAACATGGCTCAGACTGGTTTAGTATGGAAGTTACAAATTCACTTTGGATGTAGTGCTAATGGCTTGATTCCTGGTGAATTCCTGGTTAGGTTAGTGGGTGGGAGGGCACAAGTAAGAGCAATTCATTAATCCATTCAATTTTTATACACCCATCTAGCAAATTGCTACCCTGGGCATTGTGCAGAAGGTAAAGTAAAAACCATGAAAATCATAAAACACATTCTAAAATACAAAAATTGGGGGGGGATTAAAAATACAGGCAGCAATCAGCCTGTGTGCATTAGTATGCTGTTTAGAGAAGACAGAATTGACTGCCAGTTATGGCTGGTGGTTAACTTGTAAGCATTATGTCAGTATTCAAAGAATCTCTGTTTTAACCATATTAAATCTTAATCTGCATAGTACATATCATCTTGTCACCATGTAACTTGGTAATGTGTTAATTTATGTTTGGAGATTTAAGTAACTCCCATGATATTAAGTTCCTCTGCTTCTGGAGATTTTGTGGGTGTGATCCTGTGAGCCATTCTGAAGAGATGTAAATAAATAGCGTGAATTTTGTCTTCCTTGTGTTTATATGCCTATAAGAGACAGAGTTCTGCTACATTGAAGTGTAGTATTTCTAAGATGAATGAAATAATATATCTCATTCTCTTACAGAATATTTTTTAGTTTTGATGGTGAAGTAATTCTGTACTATTTGAGAACTTGGTTTTCTTTTTGGCTTTCTTGGAATATTTTTTTGAGCCAATCATATGCCTGCTTGATAGTTCTGAAATGATTACAACTTAGGAAAACTCAAAATTGGTGTTTGAGAGATTCATTTCAAGCTCTTAGATCCTATGGTGGTGGGTAGGTACTGGTAACAGCTTTGTGCCTGTGTTATCTATTGGCAGATAGTGGTGCCAAACATATTTTGGCCAAGCCAAATACAGTAAAAGAAAAATAAAAGCATATCAGCAATTATAGGTATACAATGAGTTGCTTTATGAAAAACAGACATAATTTTAATAAGTGGCTAAACATGATTCCATGTTCATTTTATAAGATGAATGTAGTGTGATATCAAAGTCACAGTTTAAACAGTATGTGCATAATCTGACTCTGTTCTTATTGTCAATGTATGTAAATCTGTCAAATGGGTTTCAGGGCCATATGGAATAATATATTTAAGAACACAGTTGAGCATGTGATGGGAAACCCAGTCTTAATGTGTTAAATGTACTTGTTATCAAATTTGGATTAAAAACAAAAAAAATGAACACTTTTATGTAGACCTCACAGAAGAATTTTAAAAGGAAAAGTTACAAAAGTTATAAGCAGTTATCTGCATAAACTAATAGTTTAAATTAGTTTTTTTGATGTACTGTGATACTGGGATTCTAGGCCTTCCATGTTTGTCTAGTGACCAGTCTCCCAGCTGGCAGCTGCTAGCAGCTTGTAGCACTGTCATACAGATTTTTATATAAGAATCAATGTGTTGCAAATCTTGCTTCAAGACAAGCCTTGAATGTTATGACCTTAATTCTTCCCATGGTTCTAGTAACTTTTCAATACAACACACAAAGGAAATTTGTTGTATAAACCTTTTGTTAAAGTTTACTGGATGCCATAGATAAAAGATATGCAGAAGGTTTGTTTGGCTCTCCTGGTAGATCTCTGAATGATTTGTAATATGATCTCTAACTTGTGATTACATAATAATAGTGGTGGAAAAGGACTTCATCCCCCACCGTACAGATGAAATGAAGAAAACTTGGGGTCACCATCAGAGGACTCCTTTATGTAAGGACCAGGGGTTCTGTTCACTTCTGATACTCGAAACAAATTTGTGGGTTGAGAAGTCTTTAATTCTAAGTATATGAGTTTTGCGAAGTGTTGATGGATTTTATGGTTCTAGTTGAACAAGTCTGAATTCTGACACCAGTGTTATAAATATTTGAGACAAACAAAGCAGTTAAAGTTTAGCTGCTTCCTTTGCTCAAACCTTTATGTTCACTTTTTTAAATACCTGGGGGATTCATTTTTGATATTTGATACTGTACTTCACTTCTGTTGCTTGGGATGCAACTGTGGCTGTCTTTCAGGCTACATTATTCCTTTAACTTTGTAGCAGTCCACTGTTGCTACTATGTTTCCCCAAAAATAAGACAGGGTCTTATATTAATTTTTGCTCCAAAAATGTATTAGGGCTTATTTCCAGGGGATTTTTCCCCATGTACAACAATCTACAGAAGTCATGTTATCTTCTTCTGGTTACTGCACAATGGTGGAGGGCAGGGTTTCACTTAACTGGGGCTTATTTTTGGGGTAGGAGTTATATTACGAGCATCCAGAAAAATCATACTAGGGCTTATTTTCAGGTTAGATCTTATTTTTGGGGAAACAGGATAGATTAAAATTAGACTGTGCTTGGAGTGTTAATACATAGACAGTCTTTCAAATCAAAATCTTTCTATTTCAGTGTTTCCCAATCTGGGAAACCTTACAAGTGTTTTCTAGGGTTATAGAAAACACTTGTTATATATGTTGTAGACCTTGTAAAATGATTTCTTCATTTTCCTTTTGGAAGAAAGAAGCCACTACTTTCTGGGAAGGGAGGACATCTCTGCATTAAAAAGGCCTTTATATGCAAATATGGCAGGGGTGCCTCAGGCTACTTGGCTATTATAAAAGAGGGTCATGGCTCAAAAAAGGTTGTGAACCACTGTTTTATTTTGAGACTATATATAGGGAGCCCACAGCTCATCTTTTTGTGGTTTGTTCCATAGGTTGGTGGCTAGCTTCACCAATATCATAAAATAGTTGGATATTTTTATTTGGAAGATTGATGTAAGCAAAGGAAAGAATAGGGGAGGGGATGTTTTCCATGTTTTTTGTCCCTAAGAGGATGTCTGTATAATATACGCTTGGCTTGGTCTGCAGTGGAACATTTCACCCACATTTCCTTTCTTTATTCATGCGTCTAAATTATTTCAATATTCTTTAAATATTGTGACTTTCCTCCTCCTAGGGTACTTTTTAATAGATAGTATCATTTCTTAGGTTATAACAATGCCACCCAGGTCAAGGTCTCAATCATAATATGCTTCAGGGTCTAGAGACTGCTTAGTTTCTCACCATGAAAATAAGTATCCTTCATGGCTTGCTGTGTCTTTTTTTTTTCTGTGAGGGTTAATGTTCATCTCTGAACATCCCTTTGAAGACCATGCACTTCCCTTTAATGTCCTGGTTTGCGTGCCTTGTTTAGATTAGCACTGCAAGAACAAAGTGTGGTGAGTCTTTGGTTTGGGTGTGTTCCTCTGCACCTCAACCATGAGGTTAGTATAGATACCATTCAGAATAATCCTTCTGGAGTGAAAAGTGCAGGCATGGCACAGTTTTGGCAGTATACCTGTACAATACTCACCTGCATTTTGGTTGGCTCTAGTTTGTGTTATTGAGCCTTCAGGTGAGAGGGTTGAAAATGGTTTCTCTAAATCCATTTTCAGCACTAAGAATAAGTTATTCCTGCATAACAATCTGTGGCACTTTTCTGTTCATAAATCAGAGAAGGGAAAGAAGTAGCCTTTCTAGGTGTTTGCTGAACAGCAACTTCCATGATCCCTCATTGTGCTGGATTGGGTTGGTGGGAGTTGGTCTTTGACAACATGTTGTAGACCACAGAATACTCACTTCGATATAAACAGACAACAGCAAAACACTCAAAAACATTAATTATAATCTGAATATAAAATTTTAATTCTTGCCCCAATGAAGTGCAGCGCAGAAGGATGTTTTCAGTGCACAGGTATCTTCCAGGGTTCTTGGTCTGATTAGTCTACTTTTGTTTGCTTTTGGCACACAAGTTTTTGATTGTTGCATGTTTTTAAAAATGTTTTAAAACTTTTTAATTGTGGTTTTAATATTGATAAATGTTTATTTGTTCCAGTATAATTTTTATGGCCCTTTAAAATTTGTTGTTGTTGTTGTTGTTGTGAGCCAGTAATGGCATTTGGTCTCTAAAATGCTATATTTTTAGAGACTGAAGGAGTTTATAGTATTGTATAATTAAACCTGGGTTACGTTAGGAATTTAGGTTTTAGTGTGTGATCTTTGAATAAAGTTTAGTTGATAGATAATTCATCCTTGTCAGCAGGCTCAATTGCTTTGGGAGCCAAATCAGAAGTCTTAATTTTTATTGTTCATTTATGTGCTAGTTAGCTTTAGAAAGAATTATCTTGTAAAATTTGTGTTCTTATTTGAAATATGTTTGGTGCCTCTTCAAGGGATATTTTGATAAATAAGTGAGAAAAGTAGAGGACAACAAAATTGCTTGTTCCACTTACGACAGTTGCTTTCAAGTTGGCTTGTTAACCTGTCTTCCTAAGTATTGGTTTAATAAGCCTGTTAAAATCTCAGAATCATCACACCCAAAGAGAGACTGAGATTTTCGTATTTATTGCTGGTAGTGGTAAATAGTGGAAGTTGTTACTTGATTTAGCAGCGCTTTGTATTGGAGCTCTCCCTCCAACGTGGTGAATTTTCATGGACCATTCTGAGCCCGTGTCCACAAACTGCTCACTGCCTAAGGTACCTTTCAGGACATGTTTCAGGGGATGAGCAGACATGTTAGTCTATTGAAGCAAAAACAACCAAGAGTTCTGTAGCACCTTAGCGACCAGCAGGTTCATTTTGACATAGATTTTTGTGGGCTGTAGACTTCAGTCCCTGAAAGCTTGATGCTAAGAGGAAAAAAAATAGACTTTAAGATGCCACAAAACCCTCTGTTGTTAGAGAAAAGAGCATTGCTTACAAGTGCCTTCTTCTAAAAGTAAAAGAAGATGACAGTCAGAGTGGGAGGTTGTGCTTCTAACTCAGCTTTCCCAACAGTTTATTCTAAACTTGAGCCAAAAAGGAAGAATGGGTATTTTGTTAATAATGGCATACTTCTCTGCAGAGGAGCAAAAACATGAAATAAAAGTGTTTGCCCATTCAGAATTAGGAGAGAAAGCACTGCCCTCCTTTCATTCAGCATCCTGGTCTCTTCCTGCAGCTAGATCAGAAACTCATCTCATCCCCTCGAATGTCCTGTTTTGCCTTCAACATTTTCATGAATGAAATTTTGACATAGATGTATGTATTCCTGTTATGTCTGTACAGATTTGAAATGGACACTGTCACCTTGATCTCTAGAAGAAAATGATTACTGCAGGTGAAGGAGGAGGGGCAAGATATTGTTTGCTTGAATGGCTGTTCAGACTTGTAGGAGACAAGAGTGCAGTCCCTTAATTACAATGCCCCTCATCTTTCACCAACTGCATATATCATGTAAATTCAGATCAAGCATTTCCTAATAGGTATTTCAGTGAATTCACATGTGCCACCAAAGTTTGTAATTTTAGTTCCTGTAAATAAGAATTATCATAGTGTACCAGTTAACCTAGGATTTGGGAGGGTCATGTTTAAGCCACCACTTGGCCATAAAACTCCCTAGATAACCTTATCATCATTTCTTAACATAATTTACTTCATAGGTTAATATGGGGAGAAGGAAAGCTTTGAACACTTCCTTGAACTAAGTGGAGAATGGGTAGGTAGAAATATAACACAAAGTAGAGAAAGGTAATATGATACTTTGGATTAAAATTGTGAATTAAGAGCTACTGTCCTTCGAAACAGAGGAGTGAGTAAGAGTAAGAGTATCTGTTTTTAGGCTCATATCACAACAAACACTGCTGATGGACTGTCTCAGTGGGCAAGCATTACAAAAATATTCCAACTAAATCCAGATAGGTCTTTGGCGAGAAGAAAGCTGGTAAAGCTGGTATAAACCATACGAGTTATTGTTTGCAGAATGAACATTTGGTTAGATATGCTTTCCCACAAATTAGAAGAGTATCATCTGCTGTACCAGAATAATGTATGACAGGATATGTAGAGCCATTGATTAATGCTATAGACAAAATGTATTTGAGACTTGTTAGGATGCATAGTGTTGACTATAAAATCCGTCTAGGACTTTTCCTTGACTTTATATCTTTAATAAAGTATTGCTTCTGGATGAGTATTCCCCCAGAGTCAAAGCGTAGGTTTTTATAAAATTAATGAAATATGCATTCATTGGTGAGTGGTATAAATTTGTTGAATAGTGGTAAAATTATTTCAATGTAGAGCAGATTTTATTTATTTATTTATTTATTTATTTTAATAATGCCCCTTAGTTTACTCTTAAATGCTGCAAGATGTTTGGGTTTTCCTACAGCAAATGATCATGGCCCTCTTCTAGGTATTTTTTCAGTCCAGTCTGCTTCTAAAAACATATAAGAAATATAGTACTCGACCTTTACTTTGAAAAATCTACAGATAGTCTGATGTTAACATGAAAAAGAGGGTAGCCATGGTTCCCTTGCAGAGTTGTATTTGCAAATAGTAGCCAGTGAGATCCAGGTTTTCTGCATTTTCAGTTTCAGAACTAGTTCTGCAAATCCAGGACACTTCTACTTTTAAACTTCTCTCAAAAAGCAAATACAATTTTTAAAAAGTCTGTATTGTTTCAAAGACATAGTATGGAATACTGTGGAGGCTAAGCTGTTCAAAAGACAAAAAATAAAAATTCCACTGAAGATCTTTGATTCAGCATGTGCAATTCTTTGAATCCCACCCTAAACCTATAATATAGAAAAGGGCTGTTTTCAGTAGTTATATATTGAGAAAAGAAGACAGAGGGGCGGTATGATAAGACTTCTCAAATACTTAAAAGGCTATCACACAGAGAAGGGGCAGTATCTGTTCTTGATCAGCCCAGAATGCAGGACATGCAACAATTACAGGAAGCCAAATTTCAGTTGAATATCAGGAAACACTTCCTAACTGTTAGAGCAGTACCAGTGGAACATAATAGAGCATTACATCAATTCAAACAAAATTGTTGAAATTTAGTTCTGAGTAGCAAGTACATTCCAATGGGGCTGCTCTATGTAAGACAAGTGTAGGATTTTCCTCTTCATCTGAGTGAAACTGTTTCTGCTTAAATTATGAAAAATATGCTGCATTTTTATTGTATTTAGTTGGAAAGTAGTTATGGAGTTTTAAAAAATTTAATAAGAGTTTCCCTCTTTTTCCCCCCCTAGTTCCAGAATAGTTTCAATGGACGAAGCCTGAATGAAGCATATCCACCACAGTTAGATGCTGTGAACACCCAACCAGAAACACATCTTCAGCCTCTTCATCATCCAGCAGAATCCAGATCTTTCTCAGATTTGGCATCCAGTAGTTTTATGTAGTTTGGCGTCAAAATCCTGTGGAGCACTAGAGCAGGAGTGAATTATTAAATGGAGATTGAAAATTGTGATTGTACATAATATGCATGCATATAGGATTTGTTATCCAAAACCTGATTTTATAGGTGGAAGTTGGAGCTGTTATAGCCTAAAAGTATGCACGTGTAATTTTCAGATGGTGGAAATACGCACTGTTGCAATATTATTAACTGCATCACATTGTAGAACATAAGATAAGGCAAATGGTTTTACGGTTTAGAAGATAATATGGGCACGTTGACAATCATACTTAGAGCAACATTAAAAATGTCTCTTTGATTATTGTAGGCTTCCTTTAAGCTGGTGCTCTAAACTGAGAAACAAGTGAAGCACTTAATTTTGTTGCACACCCACACCTTTCCTTCAGTTACTTTATTTAGTAGTTTTCAATTCTTTTATTTTACATTTCAAGTTCCAGCACTTTAGTAGAAGGTTTGATACAAGGGTTTTGTATGCAGTTCTAGATTTTGTACAACCAAATCCATTGCATTCCTCCTTTACAGTTAGCCTTAAGTGCCTCACAACATAGCTACCTTATTTCTGAAAGGAGCTGGTAGGAAAAAAAAGATACATTCACTATAAAAAAATCATCATCCATATTTATAGCTCTTCATTTGTTACTTTGGTTGGTTTTAAAAGCTAAAGACCTATAAGAAGTTTATTCCTTTTCTGTCAAATGTATTTTTTTCCTCTAGAATTTCAGATGGTTTTGTATGCGTGAAGGTTTTTTTCTTTGTTAAAGACAGAGACTGTTGGTTTTATGTCCTTTTGGTTTTCTACATTCTTCATGTAGAACAAGGTGAAAGCAGTTGTCTTGCAGGAGAAATTTGTCTCCTTGGGATTAATTTTGAATTTCAGATAGTGAAGAATTAAAAAAAAACACATGTGCCTTATCTTGTGTTACAACAGTCAGTGAATGGTCTTTCTTGGAAAGTACAAGGCTGCTCTATGCAAATACTTCCAGTAAAATGGTTATTAAGAGAGGTGGGTTTCTAAAAGCTAGCAAACAGCGATGTATCAATAGTAAACAGTCCAAAAGTTTACTTCTGTAAAAATTTCTACACTGAGTGTCAAATTTTGATTGGCTGCTGTTTTTCAATTGTTCCATTGAGGAGAGGGTCTGCTGTTATTAAATGTCCCTGATGATTGCACTCTAAAGGAAAAAGCTATCTTTCTATATATGTGAATTCACTTTAAATGTCTTTGTTCAAGAGATGAAATTGAAAGTCTATTTTTAGTTCAATTTTAGAAAGAAACTGTCCTTGTAATTAAGAAGGATATTTTGAACTTTGTTTTTAAAAACAGAAAACATTGTATTGGATTTTTATCTGAAGATTTTTAGAACAGTAGACACCAGTGCCTGGTGTGTCCTAATAGTTTAAATGAGGGTGGGAGGGGGCGTGTACATGTTCAAACAACTGAATACCCTTACATGTTGTATAGGTTGTGTGTAATAAGCACCATGTAATGTCTTTGTAAAATATTTTAAATAAGTCAGTTTTAAAATGTTATACCATATTAATATGTGTATTACATACATATGTACAATGTAAATTATAGTATAGATTTTCTTTTTATATATAAAAAAGAAAAAATAAACCAACTCCCCCTGGATGTTGTTCAGATTTTTGGTGAAAGAGCAGTTTGAAACAGTTTTAATAAATTCAGAAACTTGCAGGAATGTTTGTAGTGGCACAATTGTATATGTAATGGGAGGTGGCATTAGTTCCTTAGTCACATCAAAGCTAAGATTTTAAAAAAAATCTGAAGCATGGTCAGTTCTTGCTCCCCAAAACTGTGTAAATCTGTTCTTAAAAAGATGGTCAGGCAGCTGGTAGAATTTTACATTTAGGGTCTAGCAGTGTGTTTGAGAGCATTGGAAAGGAAATATCTATTACTTAGTGTGCTACATTAATAGTTGCAAAAACGTGTAATTGTTTGGGCCATAATGTCCTTTAAGATGCTGGGGACTTTGCTTTGGCTATCACTAAATGTATTAGTTTAGATGTTACCTGATGCTTTCTTAATCTTTCATGTCTGGTTTCCCAACCATTTCTGTAGTATTCTTTTTTTAAACATATCTGATTATTATTTTTTACAAGAGTAATATTGACAATCAGTAGTTGTACTGTAAATCTTAAAAGGTTCAAAGGGATAATGTAACTTTTTTTTTAGGGAAAAAAAGGGGGGAGGAAAAAAACAGCAAATAAAGACCTGTGTATTATATCACTTCTGCTAAACCAAATATTATCCCGTCACTAAGTGCCAAGGATTCAGTACAAAGTGGTGTACTGCCTTATTGTAAGCTAGTTTCATTCTGTCGTGCTTAGTATCAGCTTGTTTTCTACTTTAGCTGTGCCTATATACAATAAACCTGTGTATTGGTGGTGCACTATTGATCTACACCAAACTGATCTCCTCAAAAGTGATAAATTTCTGACTTTGTTATCCTTTCACTTCCCTGCCTCTACCCCAAATTCTGATCAAAATACTGCCTAGTTTTAATCAGTATTACTACCCATTTTGTAGAATATGTCTTGTTTTTTTCCCTCTCGCCTTCTGTCCCCAACCACCCCTTTCATCATCTATGTTTTATGTCATGCAATTAATTTCTTGTGTGTTAGGGTATAATTTTATAGTGCTTTTAATGAGCTTCAGTAATACTTGTAAAGGATAATATATGGTAATAAAATATCACTTGGTCAGAACTGATAACGTAATTTCTTTCACAGCACAACTTATTTTACCTCCATTAGCAAAGGGAAATACAGTTCCATGGTACTGTGTCATATAACCTTTGTTTCCAGAAGGATATCTTGCTTCAGAATGTTAAGGTTACATAAACCCTGTCAAAGGATGTAGCACAGCATTAGCTGCCCCTCCCCTGTCATCTGTTGCATACTCCCATCAGGTTATATCCATCTATAGCAAAGTTAGCAATGGCATATTGTCCTCCAGTCATGCCGGTGAAATAAAGAAGGTTCAAGCTGATCTTGTATTTTATTTTTTAAAACCACCTTTTGAGGCAGGGGTGAGCAGAATGGGCATTTATAGAATGTATTTCCCCCCTAATCTTCAGTTGTACTTTTCTGATAATGGGCATAATGGCTAGAAGCATATTGGTATTTGTGTAAGTTTTGCATACCTTGCTGAGGCTAATTGCAATTAATTGATGAGGTGCCTAACCTGGCACCTAATCAATTAGCTATGCCAAGTTATACAAATCTTATGAGAATTCCGTCCATCATTTGGATCAAAATCTTTTCTTTTGGCACAATTAATTTCATGCATCGGGGTGGTGGTTTTCACATAGTGGTCTCAGTCTGAATTAAAAACAGCATATATGGCTGTTTAGTATTTAATCCCTACCTCAGCCCTGGGATGCTAATGTATCATTCTGATTGGTAGATTGGGGTGATGCAGACAACTGATAATAGTCTGCTGTGTACATGAGTCTTTCAGCAGAGATCATAGCATTTCAGTCTTTCTGTTCTGGATTCTGAAAACGCAGTTCTTCAGATAATGACACTCTTTAAATACTTGTTGATACTTTTCTTAAAGAATAGATACCCACCTGCAACGTACTGCTGTTTTTCTGAAATACAACCCATAATGAACACAAAGGACAACTCAGTTTCACATGAATATGTCTAACATGTAATACCTAATAGAAATCATTTGCTGTTTCTGCTGTGGTAGCTTTAAAATGGGAACAGGAGGAGGTGGGGGGCACCTTATATTGACTCGATCTCTGACTTTCCTCCTTTTTGCAATGCCAGAACAAACAAACAAAAAAGTTTTCCTTCGTACTTGTTCTGTGTATCTAGCATTTTCTGTTGCTAATTCTGTGTGGATATGGTGGGCTGGGTAGCTCAGTAAGATAGCTGCAGAGCTAAGGATCAGGAATTCAATCCCCCACTGTACCTTGTAGAAAGAGAACCATGAAAGAGCTAGTTAGACTCACTTGACAGCATGCAATTATTATTAGCACAATTCTGCATGCTGTTGTCTTAAAATCATAGAAAAATCAGTTGAATGTGCAAAGTCATTTTCATGATGTTCATTAGCATCCTTTCCCCTATTGACTAGAACAGAAGCTACACTTGCTTACTTCATCTCCATTCTTTAGTCATGCATATAATATCACTGCACACCCCTTTCAGCAGCTATAGGTCTTGGAGTTAGTAACACTCCTTGTATACAAATATGCATTGATCTGTTGCAGTTTGTTCTTTATCAAGGGATAGGCGAATACAATGGGTATTCAGCTGTGTAATACAGTTCCATGAGCTGATTTTTGCAGGCACTCATGCAGTATTTATGAATGGTGGTTGCATTTTGTGTAAAAATAAATAAATCCAAGAAGTAGCCATACTGGACAGATTTAATGCTAAATTCTGTTTTGTGGAAGTATTTCGATAAAAAGTTCTCTCCTGGTTCTTGAGTTTTTTGTTAGCTGTATTGGTGCAAATGAATGCTGAACTAAGAAGCAATTGTTCGCTGCCGAAAAGGTCTGAGCTCTTTGGAATGTGCTGTGTGTACATATTTGTTCAACTTATCCACCTGTGAGTTTCTAAGATGCACAATACGGTAAGCACTTACCATATTGTTAGTTTATTTTGGAGGAAGTGTCTTTTTTTTGGGGGGGGGTGCTTTTGTGTGATTGTTTTGTCCTTTTTGCTTGTTAAAGGCTCCTTGCTACCGCCGCCTTGGGCCTGTCCAAAACTAAGAACAATTTAAACCTGATAAAGATTTATGCTGTGGAAGTAGAACAGTGGAGAATTAAATTCCTACAATCGTAAAATTCAGAGCATTGGCTGGGAACAGTGTTTTCAAACTAAAGTGATGGGATTTTGCAATTTTGATTCTTTGCCTCTACTCACACTTTGCTTGCTAATCTGGATTCTTAAGATCACCTCATTTTTGAGATTCAAAAGACCCACCTTGAATGCTCAGGAATATAGTAGTGAGTATTTTCTGCAGCAACCTGGGGGAAATCCCTGCACTCAGGATGTAACTTCAAGTGCCAGGCAGCAATAACAGAACAGAACACTATCTGAAAACTAAAAGTTTCTTCCTCTTCCTTTCCTATTCTAAGCGTTTTTAGGAAGAGCATGGGATGAACTGTGTGGATAGCTTATTTTCCCTCTGGCTTTCTGCCCTTTCATCTAGTTCAACTTTTCATTACTGTGGTTCCTTGCCCTAGAGGCCCAATCATAATGCATTTAGTTCAGTCTGCAGTTTAAAAAAAAAACAAAAAAACAAAAGTGCAATGAAACTTGGCTGTCAAAATGTGGCAGGTAAATTTAGAGACATACTTTGGATAACAATATATTTTCCCCTTCTGTATGTGCAAAATCAGAGGCATATTTTTCTTTTTGTGTTTTCTTTTAAGTATTTTTCTACAAAAATATACTGAACCCAAGTCCTTTTTTTCTAATACCAGAGAAATCTGTAGCACTGTTTTACCCTGCTGTCTTGCTCACTCACGTCCATGGTAGAGTACTTAGAGGTTTTGAAGCGGAAGGCATTTGACATTAATGCAAGAAGCTATTAAGCAAAGGAGCAGCCTTGTATGGACTTTATTTTTGGTCCATTCTGAGAAACCTAAATTTTGCCTTGGCCCTTAAACACTTTATTTTATGAAAAAGTGCAACTTTGAGATTTTCCATCTGCATTGTCCCTTTGAAGGTACATTCCACATAAAATCCATCAGAAGCCATTTTGAATCAGTGCTGCTTTCTCATCACAAACTTGTACAAGTTTATTAACTGTCCTCTCCATATAGTCAGATCTAAAGTCAATCTCAAGCTGTGGTCTCTATATATACCAATGATAGCTAGAGATCACAGTCGTACATCTCTTTTAAAAACAAAAAGTGAAAATTACAATTGTCCATCTGGTACAGTACCTAAATCTAAATGGTGCCGTTTATCTTCTTGTCTCATGCCACTTGATCTCGTTTGTCTACAGTGCTTTGTCATCCAGCTGGCTTTGGCAACTTGCATAGTTTGGTACAAAATAGTATAGATTTTCATAAAGATCATGAGTTGTCATAGCCAATCAAATCGAATTATGTAAGAAAAAGAGAAGGTGAGGGATAGCGATAAGAATGAGAGCGATGTCTGTCACTGTCTCTTCATCATGTGTGACACAGAACTCTAGAACTAATTTCTAAAATACCAACCCTAAAATGAGTTTTATTGCAGGAAGGTCTCCGGTTTTAAGAAGTAAAATAATCTACAGGCTAAACCAGATTTTTTAAAAAAACTGTTTTGAAAAAATTGCATAGCAACAATGATAATTTCACAAAAAGGGCTGGTTTTATGATTATTCAAAACTGGCTAAGGCAAGGGTTAGTTTCCAGAAGTATCAAAAAAAAAAAAGATCAATTATCATTGATGTGGTTGTTGCCCTGCAAAAACAACAAAGGACTAGTATGAAATCCAGAGGGTGTCGAAAACCCAGCAGCACTGCTGGTGGAGAGTTTAAAATCTCAAGTGAATAGGGAAGGGACTGTTGGGAAATTTTGTGACATTATCTGCATTCTTAGTTCCTTGCAACTACACGAGATGAAAGCAAAAGGGAAGAATGAGAAAGGGGAGCAGAAATGGTTCTAAATCTGTCTCCCAAAGAAAGAATGTAGGGTTAGACAAAGTGTGTCCCTCTGGATATTTTTTTTACCACAATTCCAAGCGTTTCTTGCTATTGGCCATGCTGGCAAGTTTTACTAAGAATTGTTGTTGAAGTGCAGTATGGAGGGCTGCACTCTGCTTACCTTTGATCTAATGTTATGCTAAACCCTGGCTAAAACTCTTACTCTGAAGTCAGTAGAAATTGGCAAAGGGTGCAAGACAAGTCATTAAATGAATACTTCTGAGAGTCATGGTGGAATGATGATATAGGAGTCAAATTCTTTTTCAGGCAATATGATCTAAAAACATGGATCTAGCAAAGGAAGATTTGGCAAGAAGGAAGATCACCAGAACATGAGTGTATGGTGTCATCTCCTTGTATGTGTGTGTGAGAGAGAGGAGAGAGAATTCATCATTGGGGTATTTGCTTCAAATGTTTTGTTTTCAGTAAGATGGGATGTATGTAGAAGAATTCAGGCAAGAACTATGGGTATAAGTGATCTGAAATGGCCTTGCCATTCGCCTTGCCATTCCAGTTACAGATACAGTAGTTTAGCAGAAGGTATATGAAAGCCCATGTTGCCTATTGTGGTCATTATAGACTATTGAGTTAGATCAAATTCATGGAATTAGGCCTGCAGTCCTGTAATCTCATCTCTGGGGGATCCCCTTATATATATCAGAGAGAGAGAGAGAGATCTGATCCCTTTAATTTACTTCTGACCCAAACCTACTCATGAAGGAGACAGTTCCACCAGAAATTGTAAGATTTGCTTCTTAGTGTGTGCTTGTAGGAGTATATTGTTATCTTGGGATCTAGAAAGCGTGATCTGTGTATTAGCCTTCATTGCTCTGGTAATGTTGCCTAACTTTTTATGGCTAGAGTAAATTGCATATATCAAACAGCAAAATAAGTTTCAACTTCAAATCTACATTAATTGAAAAATGCCATTGTTGCAACATCTGTGATGACTATTCTATGGTATATTGGGTGCAACAGTAAATGAGGAATGTAAAAATATGGACCATCTGATCAGAGGTTTGTGGATCCCCAAATATGGATGTTTGATCCA